AACCCATGACTTGGAGGCACTTGACCGAGCCGCCAAGAGAGGCCTGAAGTAAGAAACTCGTCAGACATTACAGTGAACGTTCAGCTCTGCTGTTGTTGGTTTCGATGGTCATGATAAAACAAACTGTTTTCCTGCAGACCCAAACTGAGCAACCCCCTGCAAGTTGCTCTCCATGAGGCCATGAGCGAGCTCGACAAAATGTCAGGCACAGTGAGTATCTTGAACCGAGTTCTTCGGTTTTTACACACATACTTGTTTCAGATCATCAATTAAGTGTTAAAATATAACAATTTAACAGTTTTTACATGATCAATTTGTTTATTGATGCAGAATCTTTCCGTACCGACCTGAACCTTTTTACATTAGCTACAACCTGACTGCATGAGGCAACAAAGATCTCCCATCATGCTCTCATCTGAAGAGATTCACTGGCTGCGTTTCCGATACGAAACTTTGCCAATATTCCACTAATCTTAAAAAGAAAAAGATTTTTACAATTGCAGTGTTTCTATTAATCAAGAAACAATTAAAATCTCAGATGAATAAGTTTGTTCACTCAGTAAGTTGTTTAAAAACAAGCCGCGACATCGTCCTCACAGGCCTGTCACAATAAATCTATTAACTAAAAACTTAAACTATTATTTTATGCAAATAATTTTCATTTGCTTGATTTATTGTTTTTCTCTCTTTTTTTTCCCCCAAAAAACTGTAGGATAAAACTCTTCAGTCTGGTGCTTTGCTCTCAACCAGCCCTTTTTTAAGGACAACTTTGTTTACAGAGATTTCATAGTTAATTCTATTTGTTGTTTCTGTTGTTTTGTTTTAATTATTTTGGATAATGTCTTCCAGTTCCAGTTTTAAATACTCACCAGAATATGAAGCTTATACATTTTTGAGAACGTGTTCTTGCATTATTATTACCATTATTTTGCTTGAAAATAGACTGAAAACAACAATATAATTGTTTATTGCTGTAACTTCTGGGACAATTTCTCACTAAACAAATTTTGTTATTGTCTCCAATCACTTTCTATCGTCGGCTTTATTTTTTCCGGCAGTAGAAACATCTAGTAGTTGATCACGACCCGTGTGATGGAAAAAATACATAAATTCAATTTCAGTTTTGCAGAAAATCTTATTGAAAAATGTTAGTTTTTTTTTTTTTTTTTTTTTTTTTTAATTTGCACATTTTTATGAAGCAAATTTATTTTATGCTCTTTTCCTTTTGCGTTGCTGCGAAAGACAGCATGACCCAATAGGTCACAGTCAACAATAGTTACCGCATTGTTGACAACTTGTTGACTTTCCACAAAAAAAAAAAAAACATTGTCAGGCTTTTTAAAGATTGCTAATCATCCAGAAACCTGCAGTGATGCACCACAATCCAGATTTATGACAGAAATGCTGTGTCTTGTAGAAAATGTGTCTCTAACATTTCCCCCGTCTCCAGCTCCCATCGAGGGAACGTGAGCTGATGCTCCCCAAACCCAAGAGGAGGAAAATATCCAGATAACATTGAATGTGTCCGGCCCAAGAACGTCCTGGACGGGGCGGTCTGAGCTCTTCAACAGGTGCTACACATGGACTTTCAGTGGTACAAACCTTGTTCCAACCTGACTTTGACTGACCACAGAAGGTGCTGGAAACTCCAATCACCAATACAGTTTTAACTGTAGAGAGAAAAATAAGAAAAATACAAAAAAAACCCATTAAAAACAGTTGCAATTTGTCTACAGTTCACTGAATTAACTATTTTTTTCTAGTATAAGATAGTAAAATAAACAAAAAAAGCTACAAGCATTACCTTACATATTTAAGAAAAATAGACAGTCCAAATATTTCTGATACATTTTCAATATGTATATAGATAATCCTGAAATTTCCTGCTATTAAGAATTGTATGTAAATATTGTACAATGTCATGTACAAGCGTACCTAATGCACATTTTATCTTTTATTGTACAAAAACAAAGCAGTAGAAGTGTACCAATGTCTTGGTTTCTATTCAGACGTGCGGCTGCTTCAGGCCGCATGCGTAGGACGAATAAGATGACAGCCTAAAGCTTTTATATGATCAACCGTACGTCGTGCTGTTTTCCTTCTTTTCTTCAGTCCAGGATCGGCTGAGTGTTCGTTTAGAAACAAAACAGAATGAACTTTACCAGTAGAAAGTGTTCCGTGTTTATTTTCCTCCACCAGCTTCATCCAGGACAGGAAAACCATCATGTTACGAATCCGACGAGGCGTTTTAAGAAGGAATAATCCACCTGAATGCAACGGTAAAGCTTCATTTCTCTCAAACGGTTTTAGTTTCACGAGTTTGGGTGGATTTTTCCTTTGAGATTTCAGCCGTCGTCTCTGATTCGATTGTTCTCATGCTTGTGTGTACAGTATTTTAGTTTCTTTTGCCACAACTATAGCTTTAGGTGGACTAACCAACCTCAGAGTTTAGATTATGAAAGGAAACACTAACTTGACGGAAACATTTTTCTTATTTAGAGGCCTTTTTGTTTCTGTTTTTTGTTGCTTGTTGATGTAAATTATTTATGTACAGTACTCCATATTTATTTTAAGCTTTACAAATATGCTAGATGGCAATAATACTACCAAGAGTTGAGAACTAAAGCCTTATATGTGTATATGTATGTTTTTTTTCTGTTCTGTTTGTTTTTTAACAGGTGAACAACAGATCATGTGTCCCGTTTTTATTTAAGAAGTTTGGCGCTCAGATTCCTCATTTTGTTACACGTTGTGTCATGGGGTGTTTTGCTATAAAAACCATGTTATTTATGAATATTAACCTCTTAAAATGCAGACATGGAGGTATTAAATGCAGTTTTAACACTACTATACTGACAGTATCGGAAACGCTGCATCAAACTGCTGCTCCTCCTGATCAATAACCTGAAATCGCTTCCGAATGATCAAGTGCAATAAACCAAGCGATGGATCAACAGCATCTTCTGCAACCGTTAGTGCTCTGCTTGCTTTCCTTCCACCTGCTTACTTTCCTTTTCTTCAAACTTCTCTTTACTCTGTAGTTTATAGACACTCCACACTTGATGCAACTTAAGATGTTTCTTCTGACCAAAGCAGTTCCAGAGCTAATCATGAAAATAGTCTCTTTTTAAAACAAATATTGATTTCTCATCAGATTAAACAATCCCAGTTGCTGTTTGTGACTTTTCCCTCCAACCTGATGTCCTAATTTCAACCAATTTAACTTTATGAAGGCTGTTAAACAGCAGTTTTAAAAACACTGTTTAAGAGTTGAACTCACTCGCTGGGATATGAAGAGTTTAGAAATGGAGTTACATGTTTATAAACTTAGAAATTTGGCTTAAAGTAGTGATCATGACTCTTATTAAGATGATTAAAATATGAACTAAATTGTGAGTTTTAAGTTTTGCTCTTTGATAATTTTTTTTTCATTTAACCCAAAAGTTGTTTTTTTTTCTTTGTTTTCATCAGTGGAAACACAACATATTTTTTAGTACTGAAATAATCCCCATTTTAAAAAATGCTTATCGTTTTGAGTTTTTTTTTTTTTTTAAAGAACCTGTTTATTGATACACTTCAAAATACCATATCTGAATATAGATAATAAAATATTAAGCACTACAATAAAAGCAAATTCCACTAATTTTTCCAGTCATTTTATTTTTTCTTCGCCTGAAGAAATTAGTTTGTATTTTTATTTTATTCTGCGTGTGGTCACTCACTACTGCCCGATTCAAATCTTCTCCCTGTCCACTTCTGAACACATGAACTCTTTCGGTAAAGTTCATTCTGCTCTTCTGCCCTGATTTTATATTTTATTTCCGTGTGCAATGTCAGGAACCCATGTTCTGCCACGTCCACATTCTCCGTGGTCAAACATAGGACACATTTTTCGCCTGTGATTCTGTGTTGAGGTGTGAGTGTCATCTTTTATTTTCCCAGTGTTTTTTTTCCTCTTCTGTCAGTATTTTTCTTTCTCTTCGGCTTGTAATTAAGTATATTTTTCTCACTAATATATACTTTACAAAAAGAATAGACCTGCGTGAAGTACCGTGTGCACTTGGTTGCTCTTGTTTATTTCTTTCCTTTCTGCATTAATGTGGGTTAGGAATAGTGTGTCAGAGTCCATTATTTTCAAATTGTTTGGACTTTTTTTTAATGGTTTGATGTAAGCAGCATTTTTTGTAAATATGTGAAACATTACAGGTCATGCAGTGATGTAACATTTTGAATAATGTTGCACAGATGTTTAAGATATTAAAAACATGTTCACTCTTACTTGAATGTTGTGGTTTTTATTGGATTCTTTTGCAGCCGAATAAAACGCGTTTTTTTGTTTTACACTGCCCTCTAGTGGGTAAAAAAGAAAGCACGTCCAACTGAGCGGCAGATATTTACCTCAGCAAAACGAGTTGGATGGATTTAAACTTTAAAGTTTTCAAGTAAAGGTAAGCTTTTTAAACCTAATAGCAACAGTTTGCGGCAGCATCAAGATGTGTATGTTCGTTTTAAAAGCTTTTTGTGATGCTTTGGAGTTTAAACCTGATTGTCTGCAGCAATGCCTCACTGTTAGTTTAAGAAAACAAAGCCTGTCAGTTTAAAGGATCTCGGTTTGTTTATGAACATTTTACAGTATCTAGACAGTATTACCAGTCCATTTAATACAGTTCGCTTATTAAAATCTGCTTTTTTATACTAAATATAGAATAAAGCAGGTTTGATCAATTTAAATTAATGCTGCAGAAAATTTGTTGCTGTAAAAATGTGTAACTTCAGTGTTAAAAATAATGCTGTGTGTGTGTGTGTTTGTGTGTGTGTGTGTGTGTGTGTGTGTGGTGTGTGTGTGTGTGTGTGTGTGTGTGTGTGTGTGTGCGTGCACGCGCGCTCGAGCGTCTCCGCCGTCAGACATGCGCGCCGCGGCACCGTTCGGGCGCACCGGTCTCCTCAGTGGTCCAGGACGATGCGGCTCTTCTGGCTGATGCTCCCCTGACTCCCCCCGCTCTTCCTCCCTACTCCTCCTCTCTGCCGCTTCCTCCTCCTGTTGGGACTCCGATCGGCTGCAGAGCAGCAGGAGGCGCCGCGCACACCGAGCTGCGAGCTCTGCATCGGGACGCAGCGCTGCGGCTCGTCCCGCCTGGACATGGCGCAGATAAGGAAACTCGGCGCTGCTGAGCTCAACTCTAAACTTCATGGAATCATCTAATGACTCCAACCTTTCATAATTTGAGACTGCTCTCCTGTCAGGCTTTTGTTTTCGTTTTGAACGGCCGCTGCAGCAGCAGCCATGGTGGATGCAGCAGAGTGCGGGTGAAGGTGATGTGCCGCTTCAGGCCCCTGAACGAGGCCGAAATCACAAGAGGAGACAAATACATCCCCAAGTTTAAGGAGGACGACACCGTGGTGATAACCGTGAGTCTGACTGCTGAGCTGACGCAGGAAGGAAAGTGCGCAATAGCGTTAGGAATGATGCATAAAAGGGAGAAATGCGCGTTTTTTGCAGAAATGTAGAAATAATTGAATAGTAAACATGCAAATGTGAAGAGAAATCTAATTGAATACAAAGGTAGACTGGATTTCCGGGGATAGCGTTAAAGGTCCACTTTTATACCAGAGGTCCTCAAATTTCATGTATGATTTCAGGAGACTAATTATGAGCAAATATTTTCATTTAAATTTACTTCAAAACAGAAATGAAAAGAAATGTCTCCAGAGGCGGTCCTAGATGATCAGGGGCCCTGATCAATATTGGATTTAGACAAATTCTTTCTTCAAAAATGATTTATTTATATTTATTTTTATAAGAGATTCAATTATTATCATTTAGATAAAATAAAATCTGAAAAAATAGCAAACTGCATAAATATAGCTTCCACTACTGTACACATCTATTTATTTCTCACATTTTTTAATCACAGTTTTTCAATGTTTCATTTTTAAATGAAATGAAATGAAATTCTTTTTTGTTCTTTTCAAATTTAAAGTTGAAATAAAATTATAACTCATTTCTCTCCATATGTTTACAAACAAAAGCATAATCTCTAATGTGATAATTTCTGGGCCTTAATTTTAAATTTGATTTTTTTGCAGTCAAACAAAAGGCCACAGAAACTGGACCAACTCTGTTGCATATTTGATCAAACAGCTTCCTGCCATCAATCAGACGAGCAGCAGCATGCAGATCCAGTTTGTGTCAGGAGTTTCTCTGCTGTATTTTAAGACTGAGTGCTGCTGCAGTTGCCTTTAAATGCTGAGAGGAGCTTTATGCACCAATGAAACGTTTCCCCTGAGATAAAACTGGAGGAATAATGGATGTTCCCTAAAAGTTCATTTGAAATCAATTTTTGGGGACTGTTGCAATTAAAAATCCATGTTTTTTTCAACAATCAGGCAGTATATTAGCTTTTTTTTTTTAGCTTTTTATGTCTAAGATGACTGAACTCATCCCAGAAAACCATTGAATACATAAAAGTTAGTGTTATTAACTCACACACAGATAAGAAACAGATCCTGACTTGTTGTTTTTGATCCGTTTTATTTTGAAACAGGGCAAGCCGTACGTGTTCGACCGCGTTCTGCCGCCAAACACAACACAGGAGCAAGTTTATGAGCAGTGTGCCAAACAGATCGTCAAAGGTAACATGGCTGGAAATATGAATATTTGTGTTTTATTGTCAGTTTCATTTAAAATTCTATTATCTTACCACTCTAATGGTAATGTTTTAATTCTTTCCCAAAAAAACGAAAAGGTACAGCAGAATAATAGGACCACAATCAGAAAATAAAAAAAATAACATTACAAGAACACACTGTAAAAACACAAAGTTTTACCAAGTATTTTTGTTTACTCTCTTGGGGAAACATGTCAGTTCACTTGAAATGACACAAAACTTACTCACAAGAGTTATTTCATTCATAAACCAATATTTTTCCGATGTCCTGTCAGTGGAACTATTACTTTTTATTAATATCAGGGAATTACTGACTTAAAACAAGCTCATATATATTTTGTTACTTGTAAGTTAGTTTGTCTTATTTCAGGTGTACTAATATACATTTGAAATAAGACATTCAAATGTATACAAATTTATTTACTGCAGTCTGCCGTAAATAAATTTCAGTTTTGAGGAATTATGCAAAATTTCAGAATAAATGTTCTAGTTTTATTCCATTCCTCCTCCAAACATCATTTTGAAATTAATTTCTGGATTGTATCATAAAGTTTCCAACATCTTTGTTTTATTTTAGATGTACTGGGTGGATACAACGGGACGATCTTCGCTTACGGACAGACATCTTCTGGAAAGACCCACACCATGGAGGTCAGAGGTCACGCTCAGCTAGTGGCTCAAGCAATGAATCGAGAGTTTTGTTTGAACTGTAATTCACAGAGTGAGGATTAGAGGATTGTGTAACAGAATTGGTTAGAGTTAAAGCAAAAGCAATCTAAAGACAGCCAAGCCTCTGGATAAAATATTTGACCTTCATGGTCAAATATTTTCGTTCTACAGAAAATGATTTTATGAGTATAAATTATTCCAAATGGAGTTATTTAATCCCCAGAAAAAGAAGCCTGAGGCCTCATTTTAATTCTCTGATCTGATGCATATGATGGGATTCTAGGGCCATCGTAGATTAAAAAATAGTACATTTACAAAAACCTAAAAAAAACTGTGAAAAGTAGAACATTTCCTAGAAAAAGCTCAGACATTTTCCAGAAAAAAACAGAAATGTCTGAGTTTGAAAGGTCAAACATTTGCCACAAAGAAACAATGAAATTTTGATATTAGTCTCAGAAATTTACTTTAAAACATTTGGACATGTCTGAGTGTGAGAAGTTGAAAATTTGTTAGAAAATAAAGACATTTTTAATAGTTCCAAAAGTCTCAAAATGTTAGTATTTTCTAGCAAATTTTGAACTTTAATCCAAAAGTTTTGTCTTAAATTTAATCTTCCTTTTAATTTCTATCTCTATTACAACATGGTAGATCTGTGGCCTTTTGTCTTTATTAACTCTTTTGACCAGAGGTTTGTCTGTGAATTCTTACTTATATAACTCAACGTTTGTTTCTTTCAGGGCAAACTGCACGACCCGCAGCTGATGGGAATCATCCCTCGCATCGCGCAGGACATCTTCGACCACATCTACTCCATGGACGAGAACCTGGAGTTTCACATCAAGGTAAAGAGAGCCGCAAGTTCATCTGCACAATCAAAATAAAGTAAAAAAAACTATGCCAAAAGACTTAAAATACATTTACTGCAAGTTTATTAAAAAATAATACATGAGACAAAATGTATGTAAAAAAAAAAAGTTACAATATATCTTAATGATTATTGAATTTGTCTATTTGCAGGTTTCTTATTTTGAAATCTACCTGGATAAAATCAGAGACCTGCTGGACGGTGAGTCTGTTCTCCCACTTCCACGTTTTGACCTTCAGGAAACCACATTTTGCTGAGGATCTTTCTTAATTCTAGCACCAGCTGAGTTTTGAGATCTTTGTCTTGCTTTCAGTGTCGAAGACGAACCTCGCTGTGCATGAAGACAAGAACAGGGTGCCCTATGTGAAGGTCAGTAAGACGAGTTTCAACTTCTTCAATGAGGGTTAGATCTGGTTTGACACAACATATTTTCGATGTTTTTATTTGTAAATGATGTTGTTCCAGCTGTAACGGCCTGCTCTCTGTTTCAGGGCTGCACTGAGCGCTTTGTGTCCAGTCCTGAGGAAGTGATGGACGTCATCGACGAGGGAAAGGCCAATCGGCACGTGGCAGTGACAAGTACGTAAACATATTCATTTGTTTATCACATTTATTCAATTATAACTTGTTACAAAAACAAAAAACATGTAGAACAAGTCTAAGACATGTTTTGTGCCTGCTGCAGATTTACCATTTTTTGTTTTATACTGAAGTCTTGTTCTGCAACCACAACCATTAACTTTTTGAGCTGTTTTTTGAGCATGCCTTTATTGATAATTTTGACAAATAACTCATTTTCTCTCAGTTTGAGCTGCTATACTGTGGATATTCTGTGGCAAACTGAAATTTCACATTAAAAAGTACAAAAATAACCCTGAACTACCTACTTTTGGCCAGTAGGGGACAGTAACCCTGAGAACATTTAAAATGCAAAAAGAGATTTTTTTTTTGCAAAAAAATATTTGGTTAAAAATTATATTTCCATAAAGACATCAAAAGTATTGTTCAAAAACAGATTTTTGCTGGTAAAATATTTCCTGTTAGGGTTTATTTTTCCTACTAAATATCTTTATTATGTTGTTGGATGGATTAAAATCAGACGATTTCTTGGGAAATTGAGTTTTTCTCACCAAAAAACACAATCTGGTAAAATGATTATATGTGCAACTGCTGCAGAAAATCGATTAAAACAACATTTGATTGACTTTTTTATCTTCTGTCATCATTGCCTATGGGCGTTGGCTTATTTAAAAGGGACTTCCTTTACATAAAATGAGCAGAAGATGATTTATGACTGATATATATTTTTTAATGAATGATTTTTCTGTTTTCTGCTGCAGACATGAATGAGCACAGCTCTCGCAGCCACAGCATCTTTCTGATCAACATCAAGCAGGAAAACGTGGAAACGGAGAAGAACTGTCAGGGAAGCTTTACCTGGTGGATCTGGCCGGCAGCGAGAAGGTCAGTCTGAGATTAATGAGGTCGCATTCCTCTGCTGAGCTGTGAGATTCATAAAGTCCGATTGTTTGACAGGTCAGCAAGACCGGAGCAGAGGGGGCGGTGCTGGACGAGGCAAAAAACATCAACAAATCTCTGTCGGCGTTGGGGAACGTCATCTCGGCTCTGGCTGAGGGAACGGTGAGTTGGTTCTCCCTGAGGTTCTGATGGAGCGAGTTGGAGATGGTTGATCTGATCCCGGTTCCCCCAGAAAACCCACGTGCCGTACAGAGACAGCAAGATGACCCGGATCCTGCAGGACTCCCTGGGAGGAAACTGCCGCACCACCATCATCATCTGCTGCGCCGTCCGTCTACAACGAGGCCGAGACCAAGTCCACGCTCATGTTTGGACAGAGGTACTCCTGGCTTCTTCTCTGGAGCGACAGCTAAAGGAAACACATTCACGTTTTGGATCTCGGCTGCTTCTAAGAACAGTCCAAACGCTGCGAAAAACTAAATGTTAATGTTATTTTGTTGTTGTTTTCTTTGGGTTACGAAAACGAGTCATGCTAAAAACCTCCAGAATGTAACGTCACAAATTAGCAAACAGTTACCTAGCAACCCCAGTGGAACTTCGCCTGTTACCTAGCAACCCAAGCTGAGCTTCAGTATGTTTGATACAATGGCTGCTGGAAAAGACAAGTGTTTTGTGGTTGTCTTACCATCCAGAAACCATTCGCTGCATTCTTGTTGCTTGTGCTGGAGGCTCTTCTTGACTTGTTGTCTGGAGGCCGACAAATATCATTTCAGGGGCCTCAAATGGCCCTCAGGCCGCAGTTTGGACACCCCATCTGTAGATGTTGATTTGAAGTAAAGTTGGGGAATTTAAAAGTGATGCTCCCTTTTTTTATTGTGTCCTCTCTCTGCAATGAATTGAGAGTGTAATCAGCTCCACATCATGATACTGCCACCACCATGCGTGTCAGATGTCATGTATGTTCGCCTGCAGTGTTTCAGATCTTTGGGTCGTGTGCAGGTGAAAGTTGATGTCAGTTCTGCAAACTAAGGTGTTCAAAGTGAGGGACGCGGCCATTTACGGCCCGAGGACTGATTTAGTGCAGGACTCAAAACACTAAAAGAAAATAAATCAGGACAAAACTACAACTTTTAAATGAAAATCAACTTCAAAAATGTTAGATGAAACACACAGTGATCATCTGTTTCAAACATGCACTCATTGTCTTTTACTCAAAAGTTCACATTTGTGAACTAAACTCTGCTTTTAGTTGCTGGATTCAAGCTTCCAGGACATTTTATTTTTATTATCAAGAGCAGATAAATACTTTTTCAGTTTTTTTCAATTGACAAAAAATCCTACAAAAAAACCTCTGGGTAATTTTACTTTTTAAATTAAAATATTTATGCTTTGTTTATTGTTGAGTATATAAAAATCACAACAAATTTTGTGATTTTATTTGTTAAAAATGCCTCTTTTTTTTTTGCTTGCAGTTATTTTTGAGCTGATGATTTTGTCCCAAATACATTTGAACCCTCCTGATGTGCAGATGTTGTGATGGACTGATGGTGGCCATCTTGTCTGGTTCAGGGCGAAGACCATCAAGAACACGGTGTGTGTGAACCTGGAGCTGACCGCAGAGGAGTGGAAGAAGAAATATGAGAAGGAGAAAGAGAAGAACAAGAGCCTGAAGAGCGCCATCCAGAGGCTGGAGGCTGAACTGAACCGCTGGAGGAACGGTAAGCTGGAAAACGTTGCAATCTGCTGAGTCTGCATTGTGTCCCCATCCTCACTCTTCCTCATCCGCTGTTGGTTAGTAACCACAGAGACTCCTCCTCTGTAGCCATTGTTCTTTAAATCTTGCTGAGTTTCCTTGTTGATGATGGAAAATGTTCCTAAGCATTAAATCAACCCGCCCTCTAAAGCTTTCAGATATGCAAAGCAACACACACACACACACGCACGCACGCACGCACACACACACGCACACACATTCATTATGCTGATGCAGTGTTTCTGCAGTGAGGGTCTTTGCTCTTCATCACCTCCTGTCTACCATCACTGCTGATGTGAAGCAATGGTCGACATTCAGTTCTGTTAAATCTGCTAGTTCTGCTTAAAATAAAACAGAAAGTTTTACTTCTTGTTTAATTTTAAGATCTCGACAGCAAAATCGATTCCAAGTGTTTCCTCATTTTCAGTAAATTTTGTATTTCAATCTGGTTTTAAGTGTTTTTAATTCCTGCTTTTTAACAACAATCTTATTGTTTGTCTCAAATTTCTCTTAGTGGAAAGTTTTCTGCTTATAAAACAGAAAATAAAAGAAAAATGTTGAGAAAGCATGAAGATCTGCACTTAAAAGATGCTTATTTAACAGAATATTATTATATTTACAGGGGAGAACGTTCCTGAGGAGGAGCGTCTGAGCTCCAAAGACCAGAGGAGCATCGAGCAATACGACAACACTCCCATCATCGACAATCTGCCACCAGGAGGGGGCGACGTCTCCAACGAAGAGAGGAAAACGTTTGAGGAGGACATCAGGAACCTGTACAAGCAGCTTGATGACAAGGTGAGGCTGACAAAGAAGAAGAAATTTATCATAGATGTAGATTATTTTACTGTTTCCTTTCTGCAGGACGATGAGATCAACCAACACAGCCAACTGGCTGAGAAGCTTAAAGAGCAAATGTTGGACCAAGAAGAGGTTGGTTTCACTTTCTTGTCATTTATAATAAATAGTAAAATAAACTGGTCAGCCATGATGAAAAAATCTCACTGAAACATCATTGTCATCCCTAAAAAATATATCATTATGGAAGTGTGCACAAACTTTTGCAGTTTTTTAATGTGATAAATATTTTGGTGTTTAGTTGAACTATAAGACAAAGTTCTCTGTTTTGCTCATGGTTTGTTCTTTAACTTGTAAATCTTGTAAATCCAAATTTGATAAAGTCCTGAAGGAGTTAAAACTTAATATATACTTATTTTTCTTTTCCTGTTTTTCCGTGACAGCTGCTGGCATCTACACGGCGGGATTATGAGAAGATCCAGGAGGAGCTGTGCCGGCTCCAGACGGAGAACGATCTGGCCAAGGAGGAGGTGAAGGAGGTGCTGCAGGCACTGGAGGAGCTGGCCGTCAACTACGACCAGAAGAGCCAGGAGGTGGAGGAGCGCGAGGCGGCCAACCAGCAGCTGATGGAGGAGCTGCAGCAGAAAACCGTGAGTTCACCTTCCCAAATCCAGCGTCCAGTTTGTCGGATCAGAGGAAAAGACGCTGTTGGTGTCGGCAGGCTCTGCTGTCGATGGTGCAGCGGGAGCTGAGTCAGCTGGAGGAGCTGAATGGCCTGCAGAGGAAGAGAGCCGCCGAGGTGCTCAACCTGCTGCTGCGAGACCTGAGCGACATCGGCGCCATCATTGGCACTGGCGACGCCAAGGCCGCCTCGGTGAGCACTTAAAACTAGATAGAAATGCTTGGTAAAATTTTGTGATTCTGCATTTAAGACCGACTTTGTAACCGTCTGTATGTGACTCTGAAGGTCCACCCAGATTTCAGGCCTGATTTTTAATTTCTTTGTTGCCAGTTTTGTTTCTGTTCAGCTGGAGAAAGTTGATTTGTTCTAAGCTTCTACGTAGATCTGTGTAGCAAATGGTAACGATCTGACCTATTGGCTCAGAATGCGGACGCGAAGGGGAACGGCTCGGCGGTGGAGGAGGAGTTCACCGTCGCTCGCCTCTACATCAGCAAGATGAAGGAGGTCAAGTCTCTGGTGAACCGCAGCAAGCAGCTGGAGAGCGCGCAGGCCGACGCCCACTGCAAGATCCAGGCCAACGAGAAGGAGCTGGCGTCCTGTCAGCTGCTCATCTCACAGGTGAACTGTGCAAAAGTCTTCAGCCACCTTTCTTCATTCACAGTTTGAGGGTTTTTTTACCTGTTGCCTTCATTCGTCCAGCACCAGGCCAAGATCAAGTCTCTGACCGACTACATGCAGAACATGGAGCAGAAGAAGAGGCAGCTGGAGGAGAGTCAGGACGCGCTGACCGAGGAGATCGCCAAGCTGCAGGCGCACGGTCAGCACCCAACACTTCCTCTGCAGAGCAAGAAGAACATATCTCTCTAACTTTTACATCACATCATATCCATAGTCTTTACTATTTATCTTTTGGGTTTAATACACCAGAAGTCTACAAACTGATATTTTTGTGCATTTTTCTTTGCAAAGTAATCACATTGCTTTACTGCAAAAACACAAAAAACTAACTTACAGGTATATTTTCAGCAAATTATAGGAGCTTTTTTTGAGTCGATATACATTTCAAAAGTACAAGACATTTTTTCTGTTTTAAATTAATAAAATCTACCAGTTATTACTTTTTAATCTATCTTCAAGAATTAGTGACTTAAAACAAGTCTCTATGTTAATATGTTAATTTTCTGCAGGTTACAACTAAAATGCATTGATTTTTTTCTTACATTTTGTTCTCTTAAATGTCATATTTGGTTTAATTTTTAAGAGAGAAATTCTTAAAAATTAAAAGTATTTTATTGATTCTTGTTTCCTCCAGACCAGGCGGCGATTGTTTATCCATGATAGTGGATCTTGTCTACTTTTGTGCACGTTTATGTATTTTTGGCATTGTCTTAGACTTATGATTGGTTGACTAAATCTAAAGATTACTTCTCATTAGAGAAACGACATGATGTGTCAAAGGAGGACCTCAACGGGTTGGATGGAGACGAGGACGTGAAGGTGATGACAGAGTCACCGCCAGATGTTTACATGTTTTATTTTTATTGGTGTCTATATTTTGATGTGTATTTTTGCGTCCAGCTCCAGAAAAGCGTGGAGGAGCATCTGGAGAGCCACAGGGAGGCTCATCAGAAGCAGCTCAGCCGCCTGCGGGACGAGATCGAAGACAAGCAGAGGATGCTGGACGAGCTGACAGAGTGAGGAAAAACCAAAACATTTATTTCTACGCTTCAAACTGCCTTCAAAGACGGATTGATGAGGAGACACAGCAGGAAATGTTTAAGCTTTTCAAGCCCAATGCAGAAAAGGAAAAAGATTTAACAGCATCAAAACACACTTTTAAGACTTTTTAAAGTCTGAACATTTAATGAGACGCATCTATTATTAATACCTGAACCACAGCATGATTCAACAGATACAAGCATTCCCTCATGATTTGGGCCGTTCAGCTGCACTAATTAGTCCAAACTCCCTTATTTACTGTTTTTATTGACTGATTAAAATTATGCCATGTTTTTCTTCCAGTCTAAACCAGGGTTTGTTACTGGAGCAGGAGAGACTCGCGTCTGACTATGAGAAACTGAAGGCTGAGGACCAGGAGAAGGAGTCAAAGCTGCAGAACCTCATGTAGGAACCATTTTATATCACCCTGTGTGAATATTTAGCAACATAAAGATTCATTCTTTAAGGTTTGTCCTGTTTTTCTTCGCCTAGTCTGTTGAATGAACACAGAGAGCAGGCCAGAGACGACCTGAAGGGGCTGGAGGAGACGGTGGTGGGTGAATGGTTCTAATGAAGCTCTACAGACTTAATCAAAATTGTTTTAAGTTAATTTAATTCCTCAGAAATACATAATTATGACAATGTGAAACAAAGTTTTTGACTATTTTACTTTGTTTATGTCTCTGGTAAATCCTCTAAACCACATATATCAAACTCAATGTTATTTTAGACTCCAGACAGATAAATAGGACAGTTTTACCCTTAAATGATATTTTATCAATCAAATCAGAGCTGCTTTATTTGTTTCCTGCCAAATTTGCTACATACCGATCAAATTTTCCTTCAGAAATTCACGCTTGATCAGTAGTGTTTTGCACTAATAGAGAATTCTGAGTTTATTGCAAATGTTCCACAAAAACTTTGAGTTAAAGTGACGCTGACTCCCACCTGCAGGTGGGAATGTTTCTTACGTCTGCAACACTGATGCCTCAACCTTATGTGATCAATATGGAGAGTAACAAAAGTTAAATAAATTTATTATTCATAAGTGGTAATTTTGCTAGATTTCTTTGTAATATTTCTACATTAACTACACAAAAGTTGTGATTTTATTGCATTTTTGATTGTCTTGTTTATTTATTTTTTTGTTACACACTTTGGATTATTAATTGAGTCAGAAAATTGATATTTTCTCCATTTTCAGGCCAAAGAACTGCAGACTTTGCACAACCTACGCAAACTGTTTGTTCAGGATCTCACAGCTCGAGTTAAGAAGGTAAATCTTAAAATCGCTGCTTCACTGCGATGCGTTGCTCTGATTCTCTGACCTGCTGCTTTGGTTTCCAGAGTGCAGAACTGGACTGTGAGGAGGGTCTTGGGAACGTCGCTCAGAAACAAAAAATCTCTTTCTTGGAAAACAATTTGGACCAACTCACCAAGGTCCACAAGCAGGTAAATTGGAACACGTTCATAATTCATGCTAATGGTTGAATTGAGCGGTCTGGGCGTCCTGTTTGAGCCTCCAGTGGTTTTTGGGGCTCCGAGATTGATTTAGTGGTTTCTGGTTTTCTCTTCAGCTGGTGCGAGACAACGCAGACCTTCGCTGTGAGCTGCCCAAGTTGGAGAAGCGTCTGGGCCACAGCAGAGCGAGTCAAAGCTCTGGAGAACGCCCTGAAGGAGGCTAAGGAGAACGCCATGAGGGACCGCAAGCGCTACCAGAAAGAGGTGGACCGCATCAAAGAGGCTGTCCGAGCCAAGAACATGGCCAGGAGGGGCTATTCTGCTCAGATCGGTGATTTATTTACAGATGAACTGATACTGAATTTTATGTAACTTATGAATTTCTGCAAGCACAAGTTAACTTGTGGGTAGTCTTCTCAGCTCTGAATCAGAGCTGAGAAGTTAGTTTACAGGACATTTCTCATTTAAAGGCTTCTTCTGCAGAATTATGAATAAATAAACCAGAATGCGTCTTTGTTTTTTACTTTGCTTTGGAAAAAAATGCAACCCCAGTCACTGAACAAGGTTAATTTCTTCTGGGTTTCAGCGAAGCCCATCAGGCCGGGCCACCATCCAGTATCATCTCCCATCATCAGCACCACCAGAACTGGAGGAATCTACACTCACAACTGAAACATTAACAGCAAGTAAACCTGTGAGGGATCAGCACATTATGTTCATGCTGCAGAGAAATTCTGAAGGGCCTTTTATTGTCTTTTTTACCACTTTTGCTCATGATAGTGAATTTTTGATCATTAAAATTAAAGACACAACAACAAAGTCTCCAGCTCAAAGTTGGTGGCAGACATGTTATGATATGTAATCAAAAATCTTTTGCAGAAATAACAAAATCTTGTGTTTTATTTATGAAATCACCCTGTGTTTCAGATTGTATCACTTTGCCGCATGTTGACAACCAATCTCACCTGGATTCACAAGCCACGCCCCTTTCCTTGGAGCACCAATGGGAGGCTTTCAAGACACAAAGAATGTCTGACGTTTTCCGTGATCCAACACCAGATTCTTCACACGCAGTGATTAGTGTAGGAAGACATATTTGAAATTATGCAACAAAGTTATTTTTAAAGTCAAAATAAACCTGCTCCATGTTTTTCTAAGAATATTTTGCTGTTTAAACCAGAATGCAGAACTGATATTTCAGGCCAAATAAATGTAATTTGAGTTGTTCTACATTAAACCCACAGTCAGTTTCTTAATCTGTGGCAAATACCATCTGGGACCTGATTGTTATCCTGACCATAGGGGTCCAATTTGAAGTGCTATTATTTATTATTTACCATTTTGTGAAATATGCATTTTCATGTCAGTCAGGTAATTATAAACCCTGTATTGTTAATTAGTACATCATACATATAGCATATATGATGCAGTTTTTTCCTATTTCTTTCTTTAATGACACACTTCCACCCCTCCTAGATGAATTAGATGAATCAGTTCATTTCTACAGCAGGTAGAGAAAAGAGAGAACCAGCAGGACACTGACCATCCAATCAGATGTTCTCCTGACTGAAAGTGGGATAATATCTCTTCTCTGCGGTAGGTTGGGTTTTTAAAGCTCTTCTTAACCTCTTAAAATATCCTGATTAAACAAATGAATCAAATCTACTTTAGAATATTTTATCTCCAAGTTTCTGAAAACATGATCAATGGCACTTTGATCAGAAAAACAACATATTTCTGTCCATGAATGTACAAAAACAACAACCAAATAACAAATGTAATAGCATGGATGAGAGCTTGTAACAAAGTCACAAAACAAAAGATTTGCCTCATTGTTCTAATGGATGTTATTGGTTTAATTAACTGACTCCTTTATTTTCCTGACAGATGTATAATTTGTCTGAATAAACCTGCAAATAAACATATTTAACGTCATTTATTTTTGTCAAAATCAGAGCTATTTCCATTTTCTGACTTTATCATGTTTCTCATTGTGGGCGGGGCTTGAGGACGCAGCAGCTGTGTTCAATTCTCCGCTGAAGTTTGCAGCAACAATCAGCGATGGGAAAACCTCGAGGTTGAAGTTCTGCAGTCAAATAAACCCAAATGTTTCATTTTGTTTTATAGAAATTAATTGATGGGCCAAATGGGAAAGACTCAGGGGTCTCATAATAATAATGTATGGCCTGTCCATCACAAGTGCAGATGCAAATTTTTTATTTTTAGAAATTTACATCCATCCAATTTCTTACACCCTGCTGACCTCCCTAGTGGGGTCAGGAGGTGCTGGTGCCTATCTCCAGCTAACGTTCCGGGTGAGAGGCGGGGTCACCTGGACAGGTCGCAACACAGAGACAAACAACCATGCAGACACACACACTCACACCTAGGGAGAATTTGGAGAGACCAATTTACCTGACAGTCTTGTATTTGGACTGTGGGAGGAAGCCGGAGTACCCGGAGAGAACCCACGCATGCACAGGAAAACATGCAAACTGTGCAGAAAGACCCCGGGAATCAAACCCAGGACCTTCTTGTTGCAAGGCAACAATACTACCAACTGCAACCATTGTGCAGCCCAGTAGAAATTTACAAAAGATGCTAAATATTTGTCTTTTTATAACCAATCTTTTGTAGTAAGTAGAGACTTTTCCTGGAAAACAAACTTTGCTGAGCCTAAATCAGCTTTTAACTGAATACATTTGTTCAGTTAAGCCAAAAATAATTTAAAAACCTGAACAAATGAAAATAAGCCCAACACAGATTTGTTTCTGTACTCGATGTATCAAAGAAAAGTTGCAAAGTTTGCATCTATAGGCCAACTATTTTGAAATGTCTTATATTTGAGTCTGTGTTTCTGTCCATCCGTCTGTCCATCCATCCATCTATCCATCCATCCATCCATCCATCCATCCATCCATCCATCCATCCATTTTCTTCGTGTCGGGCGTAGCAGCTTCAGAAGGGAGGCCCAGACTTCTCTCTCCCCAACCACTTCTTCCAGCTCTTCCGGGGGATTCCCAAGGCGTTCCGAGGCCAGCCTGGAGACATAGTCCCTCCAGCATGTCCTGGGAGGATGTCCAGGGAGGCATCCAGGGGGCATCCTGGCCAGGTGCCCCTCAACTGGCTCCTCTCGAAGTGAAGGAGCAGCAGCTCTAGTCTGGGTCCCTCCCGGGTGACCGAGCTTCTCGCCCTATCTCTAAGGCAGAGCCCAGCCACCCTATGGAGGGAACCCATTTCGGCCGCTTGTATCCGAGATCTTGTTCTTTCGGTCATTACCCAAAGCTCGTGACCATAGATTAGGGTAGGAACATAGACCGATCGATAAATTGAGAGCTTTGCTTTTTGGCTCAGCTCCCTCTTCACCACGATGGACTGGTACAGCCCCGCTTCACATCAGACGCCGCGCCGATCCACTTGTTGATCTCCCGCTCCCTTCTACCCTCATTCGTGAACAAGATCCCGAGATACTTGAACTCCTCCACTTAGGGCTGGACACCCTCCCCGACCCGGAGATGATGTGTCACCAGACCGTGGCCTCGGATTTGGTGGCACTGATCCTCATCCCAGCCGCTTCACACTCGGCTGCGAAGTGTTCCAGCGAGAACTGCAGGTCATGACCTGATGAAGCCAACAGGACCACATCATCCGCAAAAATCACAAATGCGATCCTGAGGCCACCAAAACGGATCCCCTCAACACTCTGGCTGCACCTAGAAATTCTGTCCATGAAAGTATTTAACAGAATCGGGTAAAAAGGGCAGCCTTGGCGGAGTCCAACCCTCACCGGAAACGAGCCCGACTTAGTGCCGCCAATGCGGACCAGACTATTCTGCCCACCAGCCCACAGACTTGATGGCTGTTTTCTCTCAAAGTTTGAATATGAAATTTTGTGGTCTTTCTTACCATCTCTCTCTGCAAATCTGGAGTCTGTATGTTAGAAGTCTAGCCTTTCAGAACAGTTCCCTCAAGTTCATCGTTTTCATCTAGTCTTCTAAAAATGACTCTCCTCTTCTTAAAATCCACAGAAATCTCAATATCTTCTGGAACAACAAATGTTACAGGTTCCGACCTCATTAAACTGGAAAATATTTTGCAACAAATAATTCCAACGCTGATTCCAGCTGCAAAGATAAAACCTTCTTCTCTTGAGAAAATCATCTTTTCCATTTCAGACCGAACTGAGATTTCAACTGAAGGCTTAACTTCTAGAAGCCCATAAGGGCTTTGATGATGTCATAGGCCTTCTGTAGCTCTGAGGTCCGTGATGTCATCTGTGTGTCATCAAGCTCTCATCCTGCTGAATGTTGGCAATGGAAACAAGATCAGTTCAGCATGACGATCCGTTTTTAGATTTAACAAATTTTTATCATGGTTTTGTTTTATGTCATGCTCATGTCAAGTCTGGTAACAAAGATCATTTTTGTTTGTAGCTACATTAATCAACTGAATGTTTGATTGGTTTGATTTTTGTTGTTTTTGTTGCCAATTTCTCTACTTGACAAAGTTGAACTGGAATTTTGAAGAGCATATTTGTTTAATAATGAAAATAAACTTTTTTTCCCCATTTTTACAATATGAACCACAAATCAGACTCAGCTATGATACATAGAATATATTGTATTTAAATGCATTTTTATTTAATGAGCCAATATTTATGTGCATCTATATGGACTTCATGTTTGTTTTCTGGCCCTTTAGCTCAGTGTTTTTCACAAGATATTTATTAAGTTTTATTGTTAAAGGAGCAATAAAAAAATATTTTAGTAAACAAATATATGGTTTGATTTCAAAGGTTAAGTTTTAATGTAGGTGTTAAAACTTTCCTGTGAAAACTGCTGATAGTTTTTTATGTTTTCTAAACTATAGAAACGTGTTTATAAAAACTAAAATGTTGTACATATGTGTCAGTATGTAGTTGTAAATGGTTGTCTCAGAGCTGAATCCGTCCCTTTCTGTTTGCTGCAGCGAGGCGTACTTGGGTTGATAAACAGGAAGTGTGAGGATGGCAGCTTCACCTTCATCGTCCTCCTCTTCCTCAGCTGCAGCTCAGGTCGGTTACAGTCACAACTCCCAGAATCCTGAATCTTCTAGATCATTCCTGAAACCATTTCCTGCAATAAATGTTGGCTGAAAACTGAGAAAAACCTGAAAAAGTTCAAATCTGACCTAAAGGTTTACAGCTCAACTCACTATTAATTCAAAGGAAAACATGAAAGTAAAAGTAACCTGGAAGGGGGCGGAGCCTAAGGTGTGGCTCAGGTTCAGACTCCATTTCGCAGCAGAGCAGAGTCTGGATCAGGTGAGTTTTTACATTTTCTTGTTTTCCTCTCTCTGGGTTTTCTCTCTTTGGAGGAACCAGAACTCGACCCGGTTCTCCTTCAGAACCAAGCTGCTGGCTTCATGGAGCTGTGGTTCTGGTCGGGTTCTGGTTTCTTGTTAATCAGAACCACCAAACTCTCTTAAAGCTGCAGTTTCCTGTTGCTGAGCTGAACTGGTTCCAGTATCTTTACTGGTTCTGCTGCTCTTCCTCCTGATGTCAGAACCGACCTCAGAGACTCACTGGTTTTAGAGGAAGAATTGAGCTGAATCATTAAAAACTGGTTTCCAGGATGAAATTGTAGATTCTGGCTCAGCTTTGTGAATAAATTCTAGTTTGTCTCCTGCAGAGCAACACGTCCTGCTCCGTATTTCTGTTCAGTTGTTTCATAACGAGCCTCTGATGACATCACAAGAGGCCTCATCTCAGACTCTCCCAGTAAACAGACTGGGACACCAGTGGGTCTCTGATTATGATTCATGTCTGCAATTTCCTCATCAGTTAAGTCCCACCCCTTTAGAGCAGCAGGTAAATACTTGTTCTGTCGCAGGAATCTGGTGGGCAGATCAGCCAGAAATGATTCTCTAGAGTCGCACTACTTCAACATCAGATGCTTGTAAATAAAAGTACAAAGTACAGCATCGTAAAAATACTCCTGAAATGCAATTTTCAAAAAAGTAACTGAAGTAACAGAGTAACTAAGTAGTTACTACCCAAGAAGCTCCAGTTTAATACACTGTAGAGTCAAACTGGGACCAGTAGGTCTTCACCAGTTGTGACCAGCTGAGATATGAGGTGTCAGAAGACGGGGTGAAAACTATTTATAGATAAAGTTACTCCCATTAGATTAAAATCAGTCCTGGTTCTGATCCAGGAGGATTTTGAAATGTTTCTCTTGTCTTCAGAGGCTTTCATCAGTAAATAATTAATTTGACGCCTCTCCATGTTCAGCTGCATCTGAAAACTGTCCAACTTATGTCCAGTGAGGCTGTCACTGGACATAAGTTGGACTTAAATAAATTGAGAAATTAATGTAACTTTTTACAGTGCATCAGTGTTCTTGCTGCAGGAATTCTCACTGTAAAACCTCTGGTGTTTTAACCTTAAAGAAATAGAACAGAAACATTGTAAACTAGTTTCTCTTCTTCTTGAAATCAGCAGAAATTGAATCACATCACTCCGTCCCTCAGCAGTCGGGGGATCAGCAGAAACATGTTTTTCTTATCTGTGGATCAGAACCGGCTTTATGCAGTCCACAGATTTTCTCTCTTCCTCTTCACTGAGTTTCATCTTTTTCCAGGTTTTCCTCTTGTTGCTTCTTACAGCAAGAATAAACTCTTTATCTCTCAAAGCTCTGCTGGAAAACTGCATCCAGATCCAGATTGACTGATCCAGAACCAGTTGCCAATTCAACAAAAGAAATTGTTTAGGCTAAAATCAGAGTCAGGAGGTCAGGCTTTTTAAAGATCGGCGATCGGCCAGAAAACTGCAATCGGTGCACCCCTAAAATAACTTAATAATACCTTTAAATGGAGCAAAAATAATAATTTAAACACATTTTATATCAGTTGTAAGAAACTATTTACATTTCAATTTCTAGCTAAAAATGTTGTAT